GGCGCACTCGAGGAAAAATGCACCACTGACCAGGCTAACTGCATGCACAGGGCCTGAGCGCGAAAAATGCGCGACTAGCAGATACCCTGTAAATGGCAAATATATATATATGGTATTTCTTAAAGATGAATCCTAAGGGGAAACATATATTATTTTAATGGAATAAATAATAAATTATTTTAATGGAATAAATAATAAATTATTTTAATGGAATAAATAAAAATGGATATTAAAACAGATATAGAAATAATATATTCTCCTAAAATAATATATTTATATTCCATTAAATAATTATTAAACATAATTTTAATAGCAGCTGAAGCTTGTATTGTCCAGTTACAGGGTATCAAGCAGTCCAACCTCATGCATTGCTACCAAAAAAAGATGGCGCCTTGCTGTGTGCAAAATTGATCAGAGGATTCCCTGCCGTTTGAACTATGACGCGATATGTCATCATATTTCCTCCAATGCAGTCTCTGGCCACACCCTTGGCCCGCCCCTCCTGCGCCCTTTGCTGTTTGCTGCTGTTGCCATGCATATTTCTCACATTGTCAAAGGTTTTCCATGCAATGCACAAGTTGCCCAGTTGTACAGCTGCCCAGTTGATTTGCGTGCAGCTCCAGCTCCTGCTCCTGCTCCTGCTCCTGCTCTTATTCCTGCTCCTGCTCCCAGCGCCAACTTTTTCGTGTTTCACTTGTGTTTAGCATGTGTGTTGAGCTACAGCATTTATTGCCCCGGCTACCGCAAAATCAATTTTCCACATAACTTCAAGTGGAAGTTGCTGTGGCGCCTTTTGGCCAACTGTGAGCAACGGTGGCTCATTCGGCCATCCTCCGCTGCTTTTATGGCCATTTCTCCGGCAATTTTATTGGCCAACTGCCCTTCGCTTTGACTAATGGCCGCTTCGTGCTGCCGCTCCTGCCGACGTCTCTTTTTATGCACTTCTTCTTGTTTTGTGTTTTTTGGTTTTGGCTCTTTCTTTCAGCTTGGCATTATTTGTTTTGTCATCTTTTTGGCAGCGCTGTTAAATATGATTCAACTATGATTTATTAGATTGAAATGGCGTGCCATAAAATTGCAAAAATTGTAAATAATGTCGTAAATAATAAACGAAAATTATATTGCCAAAAATTTTTTCGGTTTTGTTTTAATTTTTGTAATTTTAAATCGATAATCCAGAGACTTTTGCAAACAAAATTTTAGCAGCTTATCAAATATAACTTTGCTTATATATATGTATATATATGAAAAATATTCAAGTTTCCATTTTCGATAGTAAAAAACTATGAAAGCTGGATTAATTAAGTAGATTAAGGCAAAGTTTTTCATCTATCAGCTACAGGCTTGGACTGAAGGCATTTTACAACAGATTTAGAGAAAGCATTTCGGAATACGATTGGGAAATGAAGTACAACTAAATCTCACTTATGGGCAGCTCTCAAGGCTGCCTGAAACAGTCGATCAGCTAATCCTCTTGCCACAAAGCCAACTACAGCTCGTCTCTCTTTGTTTTCGTATACATCAGTTCATTAAAGAAAACTTCATTATCCCATGCTATAAAGAAAATCAATTTTGATTTACATCGAATAGCAACAGCAACAGCAAATAGACATACATATATCAATATGCTCGGACGTATTGTGAGGCCCCCCAAATGGCGCAGGCGCATGTTCCAAGGGGCTGAAGGCGCGAGTGGGGTGGGGGGAGCACTGCCAGCGCTGACCAACGAAACGTTCCATCATTCCAAAGTGTTGATGATGGAAAGTGTCCCACTGTGCACAACAACAACAACAACAATGAGAATGCCAATGCGGCCAGTGCGTCTACAATGGAACGCAACATAGAATAGAATAAAGAGAACTGAAGATGAAGAAGAAGAAGATGACGAACAACAACGACAACAACAATCAACGCTAATAATGCTTAATCAATGTTACACTTTACAATAAAGGAACAATCAAAAAAATAGAAGAGATATATAAAATATGGAATCGAACATAAAAAACAACAGAAATGAAAAAAAACTAAACTTCATTTGTGCCATGATTTATCGTTTTTTCATTACCAAACAGAGACAAAGAGTATAGGAGAGGGAGAGTGAGGGAGAGAGGGAGAGAGCTAGCCCACTTCAGAATATAATTCACACCTGTAAGCAAGTAGAGGGCCCTTCACACAGTAATTGAAATCACTAGAAAGAGGCAGATTGAGAGCGGCATAAAATAAATCGATTTGAGCATTGAACAATTCGTTTTAGGGAAACAATGCGCTAAAATTTGTTGCGCACAAATTGTTGTTATTCGAGTGTATTCAATAATCATTTATCTTGATTACAAAAACAAAACAAAATACAAAAAAAAAAAATATATATATATATACGTACATAGAAGTAAAAAGAAAAATCACCTAAAATTTCACAAAGCTTCATTAGCCGTAAATAAAATTCCGTTAATTACTTACTTAATGTTTTCAGCCAGCGAACAGCTCTAATTGCTTGGATTAACTGAGCCAAATCTCAGTCTAGTTGAAGTCACACATCAAATTTCATTAGAATCGCATGTGATTTAAGGATCTCCATTCACATTTAATGGGCTCTTGAACAGCATTTGCTTTTCTATTCGCAAGTCGTCTCACAGCACGCAGCTTTTGTCTGGCTGCAGCGCTGCTGGAATGGGGACAAGTCCTTCTTGAGGCGGCTTTGTTAGAGCACGCGCTTCGCGCTCACAGAACAGAAGTCGACAGCAGCTGTTAGCCAGATCTTAGGCCCAGCATCCTGCCGCATGTCAATCCACAGGCGCTCCACATGGTTTGCCCCGGACTGGCGTTGCCCACAATTGAGGTTAGAAGGCGTGCGTGTTCGTCAAAGGCAAAAACAAAAAAAAAAAAAACGAAGTGCGCCCAGCACGAGTTAAGATTTAATTTAGTGAACATAATTTGTTTAGTCGTCCTGCAAAATTGCATAATTATCAATGGTTTGGCCACTCCACACACACACACACACACACTGAGCTCGAAGGACCTGGACTGCTTGTCGTCCTTAATGAGCGCGCGACGCGGTTAACTCTCAGCCTAATATCATCTGCTAACTCCCAAAGGGGTATATTGGTTTGAATACTAAAATGAAAAGTTTCAATATTTAAAATTGTTAATATAAATATTAACTATATAAATATGTATGTATGTATGTATGTGTAGATATATCTTATCATAATTAAATGACAACTTGATATATTATTTACTATATTTGATATACTATTACGTATTTATACACGAGACTATTTTGATTTAGATCTTACATTATCATTCGACAATTCTTTTCCATATACTTCGACAGGGTATTGCGCAGTCGAGTGCCGCTCGCCGCTTGCCTTGTGGCTGCGTCCCACGTGCGTTTGGGCATCCGCTGCGCCATTTTGAGACACCGCAAAGCCAACACATTTGCATATTGGAAAATTATAGGCTGCGCGAGCAGAGCCAACGCCTGCCCAGCTTCATACATACACACAAGTATACAAATATATATACACATGTGTGTGTGTGTGTGCTGCTTCTGGCTTTTGTGGTGCTGCGGTGGCTGCGGTTGCGCAGAAGGCGACGCGCGTGGCTGCATGGTGCCGCAATGGGAGGGCGCCGCTGTCGACGATGACGACGACCCCCAAGCGACCTCCAGCCGTGCGAGGACTTGACTCTTAACTGGCAGGCTAACAGGCAGGCTAGCTGGCTGGCAGGCAGGCTGGCAGACAGTCGGACGAATGGACGGCCGTAAAAAAAGAGTGCACGAAAAAATGCAAGCAATGCGGCAACGTTTCTGACTCTGATGAGCTGTAAAACACGCGTTTTCATAATGTTATTAAAAGCCAGCCAAGTGGGCGAGAGCGAGCGAGACAGACAGAGAGGGCGGCGCAAACGGTTGCAGCTCAACGGCCATTTGACATGCCAAAAAACACTTCTGTCACAGCAGCAACCGCAGCAGTCGCAGCAGCAGCGGCTGCGCATCCGTAGGTGGTATCTGGAGAAGGTTGGCTAAAGCGTGACTTCGCGTACTCGTAAATTGTGCGCCGCATGCGCTTTGCCAATTATTTAGCCATAATAAACTTGATATCGATGCGCGATCTATGTTAAGATCGAAAATATACGAACAGTAGCCGTAGCGGAAGCTGCGCTTATTAAATTTCAATTTATACGTCATATTTATAGAGGCGGCAAGTCAAAAGCCAACGAAATGCAACATAAAGTATTACTTTACTGTACAACATTAAAATTCGCAATAGCACTGGTAATTTTCTTTAATAAATTATCAATTCGAACTTGAGAGTGGCGCGAAGTTTTTCAATTTGAATTACCAGAGCTGCCACCTAGCTAAAATTAAATGCAATCTGACATAGTGGTACTAAATATATTTGGTCACACTCTTTGCTCAAAACAAAAGCCGCCTAACGCAACCCATCTGAAAATGTAGGCACTCTAGCAATTACTTCTTAATTAAAATAAGTAGGCAGAGCTTAAAATTAATGATACACATCCAATGGTACTTTTAATTTAGCAAATAATAGTTGTGAAAACTAAAATGAAGGAATAAATGAGTATTGTGAGCAGTGTGTACAAACTTTAAACGGGAATTAAATATATTTGGTGCATACTGCAAATTCTTCACATTTACTATAATAAAATAAAATTAAACAAACATACATATATAATTTTAATTCATACATATATAAGCTAAAGTTGCATTTAAATTTTGCGTTTTTAATCAATCTTCAACTCAACTGTTGCGAAACTGTTGAGCGCTCATACTCATCAGCTTATCGTGGTGAATATAATCAGCGACTACAGCTGCTGATGAATGAACATGCAGTAGTGAGGTGTAAAACATAGCAAAACGTAAAATTTCTGCGTTTATCGCAAAAAAACCGCAACAAAACAAATGTAATAAACATTTAAGCTACAAGCAAATACAAGTGTAAGGATGAAATTTATTAAAATCGGTAAAACATAATCCAATTGTAAATAAAATACAGGGAGTATTTCAACCGGTAAATACCAAGCGAAGGCCTAAAAAAAAAAAATGCCAGCCACAATGGAAGGCAAAGTAGTAGTAGGAGTATGTTGAATAAGTGTGTGTAGTGTGTAGTTGTACGAAGCAGCGTGCAAGCCGAAACTAGCAAAACTGAAAAGACGAAGCGGAGTGAAAAACATAAGAAGAAAAACAGAAACAAGTGCAATCTAGTGAAAACAATAAACGACAAAAATAAAAGGAAAATGATACGCGATCCACAAATAATACAGTAATATAATTGTGGGCGAGACAAAGAGAAAACAAACGCCGGGCATGTTAAAGCACCAGCTGACGGAGCAACAACAACAACTGCAGGGGGTAGTCGGAAGAGGAGCAGACCGAGGAGGAGCTGGAGCAGTGGGCAGCTGCATTAAAGAGCAGTAATAATAATGTTGCTGGCATCAGCTGGGCAAACGGCGCCCTTCACCTACGACTCCAGTGCCACACGGAAAATCAACAGCAACAACAACAATAGTGGCAATACGAGCAGCAGCAGCAACAATGTTAGCAATGTCGGTGCAGGCACGAGCACTCCCAATCAATCAATTGGAGGAGCGGGCTCGTTGGCGGCATGTCCAGCTAGCGCGAGCAGCATTGCCAGCACTGCGGCCACTGCGATAATGAAAACGCTCTCTGTGCGTCTGCATCGGGGCACCGAATTCATCAAGGACACTGTGCAAAAGGCTTTGGTTATGAATGGACCAACTCCTGTGTTAGCGTCTCAGTTGGATAGCAGTTTCAAAAGGAAACTATTAGGTGCCGGTGGCATCATGGGCACCAGTGGTACCTCCAACTCCAACTCCAACACCAGTACCAGTTCCGGTTCCAGCACCAGCAGCAGCAGCAGCAGCAATCGCCAATTTGTGCTCAGCCAGCCATATGTATTCCCCACGGCTGACTTTATGCGGCAGTACACGGTGCCGCCAGGTGTGCTGCATCGCTCGGCATCGGCGCGAAAGCGGAATGCCAGTACAGACAGCTTACTCATGGATCTGTGTGTGTTCAAACCCATTCGGCCCATGCCCATAACGCCCATTAAAATGTAAGTAGCAAGTAATTTAGTGGGATTTCCTTAAAAGTTTTGCAACATTTCCCTCTTTAGTAACAAAGCACGCGGCTTCGAACTGAAGCGACCTAAATTTGTGCCGCCCGCCGCCAATATGTATAGTGATGTCGACGATGATGATGATGAGGAAGAACAGGAGCAGGACGAGGAGGATTTGGTTCGTAAGGAACAGGAGCTTACATTTAAGCCAAAGCTCAGGTAAGTTAATTTTTAGAATTGCATATTGAGGCACATTTCGCTAGAGAGTTGGGAGCTAAATCTTAACGATTGCAGTACACTGTCATTGCCACAACATGCCACCGCATCCGCTTTTGTGCCACATGAAGCCAACAGCAGCAGCAGTAGCAGCACCAGTTGCATTCAACCAACACCAGCCCATACCAAGGATAACAGCAACACACACACCTCAGGCACAGGCGCAGGCTCATCCGAAGTGAAAGCCAAGCCAGCCACTAAGCGTCGACGTCGTGCGCCGCTTTTAACAGGCAAACGACGTCGCAAAGCAACCGGAGCAGCCGCGACGGCATCAGCAACTGATGAATCAGCAGCCACCGTCACCGCTAAAGCAGCATCTGCCTCTGCATCATCCAAACGCAAACGACGTGCCGCAACTAAGAGCACTTCCATATCGCCAATGCGTCGATCACCGCCCATGACGCGCCAACGTGCGCGTTTACAGATCTCCACCAGCAACAACTGAACACTACCACTACCATCTCCCTCCTTTCATCTGTTTCATTCTCTGTTTGTGTCTAGGTTTAGTCATTGGAACGCCGTGTAATTCAATGCCCAAAACGGTGTAGCATATAGAGAAAGAGAATAACAAACAATACCCACAAATCCTGTCTTTGGTTCTAGTTACTGTTTAAATCTAAGCGCGATTTCCATTGTTTTGAGAACCGAAGCAAGTGAAGTGCCAAATGGCAACAACAAGCAGCGCAATGCAAATATTTATCATAAGCTACCCCAGCTACTCTTATCCTATTCAGTTGTAACCCGAGCTGGGCATTTCGATTTGTTTATAACCAATGATTGTTTATATTGTCCTCGTATTTTATATGTGTTTATCCGACTTGTGTTCGATTTGTGTGAGATGTAATCGTTAAATTAGCTTTAAATATTTCATCATTTATGTAAATCTTTATTTTGGGTATTTGTTCTCATTTTCACTTCACTTGCTTAAGTAAATATGCCTAAATTATTATATATGTATATCGACATATATATATTATAACATTAACTGGTCTTCAAGACTGATGAACAACTAAACGAATATTATAAAGAAAAGCACTCATCTAAGAGCAACTGATATAAAAGCTAAAAAAAAAAAAACCTTTAAGAATTTAACAAAACAAAACCTAAAAAGTAAGAAAAAAGTATTAAAAAAATGCTAAGAAAATTGTAAAATAAAAGAAAACAATACAAATTGTAATTTATAAGTCATTCCTGATATGATATTTTGATTTTAATACATATACAAAATCTATATGATTAAATATATAATTTGTCGGCCCATATATCGTTTTCAGTAGGCTCTTCAAATATTCTTAAATTATATATCGGACTGCCTCTGAGGCAAAAAAAAATAGGATGGAGAAGAAAAAAGGACAACAGTAAAAAACGCCACAACTAATATTAATTTTCCTACATTGAATTAAGTTTGTTAGACTTTATAGCTTAGAAAACAAAATAAACAATTCATTCACATATAAATAAAATAAATACAAAATAAAAATATATATATATACAAACTATACATAGTATATGTATAAATAATGATTATAGTGCATACCGGTCAAATCAACTGTGTGTTGTGATATGAACTAATTTATAAAAACTATAAAAAACAAAATGCAAAAAAAGTCAGCAAAATTCTTGTTTTGCTTTAAACAAAAAAAAAGCCGGAAACTTAAGACAACTCTCACCCAATCACAAAGAAAAAAGGAAAAAAATAATCAACAAGTATATTTAAAATTACGATTAATTAATTTCTAAGCATTGCGATACCAACGAACCGGGCAAAGTAGCTGCAGTCACAGATCATCTAAAAGCCCAAAGCATTATTCAAGTTTCGAATTCTAATTGCAATCAACAAAATTAAAGTCTATGAATAATACGATAATAAGAGCAAAACTACTTAAATGACAAAACAAAAGAAAACCAAAATAATTAAGTAAAAGAAACACACAGCGAGTTGTTTGCGTCAATAAAAAAAAACATCAAACATAATGTAAAATTCATGTATTTGTATTTGCCTGATTAAATAATGGGAAACTTTTCTAGGATAGAATAAGATATAATAAAGAGGCCGGATCTCAAGTCCTTATCCAGCTTACGTAGAGCTTATTCAAGTCAACTCCATCTACTTCGCATATTATTCATCGTAATCTGTCATTTTAGTGGGCATCACATTCCATAGATCCTGCAGCTTGTAACCATCTGGTATAGGCTCCATGGCAAAGCCCAGTTCCTTGCAGTAGATGGGCGTTTGCTGCTCCGTGGACAGCGCACCCAAACAGCCTGCGGCCAGATAGCTATTTAGCTTCGTATTTATCTCGCGCTCCTGTCGCTCGTCCAGCTCGGGATAGTCCTCGATTTTGAACTGTGTCGCCTGGGCGGCTTCCTCGGCGGCGGCTGCTACGCGCTTGCGCGCCTCTTGCGGATCGTAGTGAACACCGAAATTGGGCTGATCTGTGTAGATGGTGTGCAGGGAGCACAGTTCCTTGAACAACTCAGTTAAACGCTCCACGGGATCAATGCGAAAGCCCAGCACATAACCGCCGCCCGTCTCGGCGGTCTGTATGACCAGAGCGGGACCATATTTGGACTCGCGTATGCGCAGCTGAAAGTGAATTAATTGAGGAGCGAGGCGCCTTTCGGATCAACTCAGGGACTCACGCTTTCGATCTGCAGGTAGGGCAGGCTGATGTTAAAGGTCTCATTGGCATCCGCATACCAGACCAGACGTATGTTGGTCACCACAAAACTGCCCAGGTTGCCCTGATCGCTGGACAAGTTCCAGACGCCCTGCACCTGGCTGTACACCTGCTCATCCGGCAGCAGAATCAGCTGACCCGCCTGCACTATGGCTCCCCGCAACTTCAGATCCCTATAGAGAAACGTGCGCTGATATAAACTAAAGAAAGAGCGAGAGAGAGGGGGAGAGGATTAAGAGGAAATATTTGTTTTGCGGCTTCCCACTCACAGATGCACATCGAAAACGCTGGCAAAGATGGGCTGATCCCGACGCGCTGTCTCGCCGGATACATCCGTGAATAGAAACTCAAACCGGGTCTCATTGCTGGTGGCTAAAATGTAGAGTGCCTGGCTAGGTATGCGACCCTTGGTGTGCATGTGCACCACCCGCGTATTGGTGGTTCCTATGCGGGCATAACCAATGGCTGCAATTAAAAATTTTACCATTTATAATAGACAACAATTACAGCCTGCTTGAGCGAAGCATAGGGGAAAAGGGAACAGAATAAAACCCTATAAAGAAGCAACCAGTAGGACTGGGCAATATTCTCAGATATTCCTCGAATGCCTCACACAAATTAAACTTCTTGTGGACCAGCGAGTGCCAAATGATGCGCAGATTCGTAATCAGCAGTTTTCCCGTATCCCCGGGATTGCCCTTGCTGTCCTCTATGTGATTAATGGTATCCAATATTTTCTCGCCGCAGTGCAAACGTGTGTGTCTGCAAATCAGATATTAGAGCTTGTGCTTAGCTTAAATCGCATAACTCACAGCTGGGGCACATCGAACTTGACTTCCTTATCCTCCCAGAGCAGATTCTGCTGGGCTATATCCGCTTTGCTCAAAGTCTTCAACATTTTTTCACTGAGAATATGAACTTTGTGCTTTGGCCTAAAGGCTTACGGCCCTTTGTGGGGTTGCTAGGTAACCAGAAGGTAAATCAAAAAGAATAAATACAATAATAACAAACAAGATTTCCCTTTAAAATATTATTATTATTATTACATATAATATAATTGATATATTTGATATATATTTAATATAATTGATATATATTTGACTACAATACAGATTATGTAAAAAAAACGTATGCTTCGTTTTGAAAAAGTTTTGGTCAAAAATGCCGCTAACTCGACTTTAGTCTTAGAACTGCATTTTAGCCACGCTAATTAATGGAAATGTGTATTGTTTGATTTGGTTGCATATTTAGAATATTGACATATTGACATACTGACAGCTTAAATTGTCGAACACATCGAAACAAGCACAAGGCAATCGGTGCAAATCAAACAGCTAAATTATATTTACAATAGGCCACTAATTGCACAGAGGAACTGCGTCCGATTTCACATGATAATCTGCGGCTCGGGCACGCTGGCCGCGATGCTCTTGTGTGGCAGCACTTGACCCCCATTCACGTACAGCTCGTCCTTGACAATGACATCCTCGCCCAGCACTGTGATACCCTCAATGCGTACCCAGCGGCCGACCGTCGAGCGCCAGCCCACGATGCAAGAGTCCAGCCAGGAATGCGAACGCACATTGGCACCCTTTAAGATGGTCGAGCGTTTGATGCAGACACCATCTTCGATGACCACACCGGGTCCAATGGTTACATTTGGTCCGATGCGACAGCCTTCGCCAATCTTGGCAGTTGGATCCACTAGCACATTGCCCACCACTCCGGGGCCCGTGTATAGTTTGCTCGATTGTTTCTGCCGGAGCGAGCTAAGGTAGAGGCACATACCTGCAATCGAAAAAAAAAAACCAATTATATCTTGTGTTCTTACTTCATTAAGCATCCCCCAATCCGGCCCCCCAAATCCACTTATCAACAATAATGGCCCATTAGAAACGTTCGATCATGCATTGAGGCATATCTGTGGCAGCCGTTATTCCAAGAAACCAGATAAGGCCAATTATTAGATAATAGCGACAATGACGCACCGGTTAAAAAGTCTTTGGGCTGTCCAATATCCATCCAAAATCCAGACAGCTCCATGGCATACAGCTCCTGTTGCTGCGCCATGTCCGGAAATACTTCCTTCTCAATGGACGTGGGCTTCACTTCGATGCGATCTAGTACCGTGGGATTGAATATATACATGCCGGCGTTAATCTTATTGCTGACGAACTCTTGGGGTTTCTCAATAAAATTAGTGATGCACCCGAGCTCATCGTAGAGCACGACGCCATATTTGGAGGGCTCTTCCACTTTGGTCACCACAATGGTGCCCTCTTTGCCATGGTTACGATGGAACTGCATGAGCTGCTTGAATGGGAAATCACAAATCACATCCGAGTTGAGCACAAAGAATGGCTCCGAACTGGCCGCCAGAAGGGGCTTCGCTAACGCCAGTGGCCCGGCTGTGCCCAACGGTTCAGTTTCATGTGAAAATATTAACTCGACTCCGAGTTTGTCTGCCTCTACTTTCAGCTCTTGCTCCATTTGCTCTGCCCGATAGCTGACTGCTAATATGACCTACATTGCAGAGAAATTTCTTTATGTAACTGTTGTTGTTGCTGGGAAATTAAAAACTCACTTGACGGCATCCCGCGTCGACTAGAGCCTCCAGCTGATGCAGCAATATCGGCTTGTTGGCGAACTCCACTAAGGGTTTAGGTGTGCTTAGTGTCAAGGGACGCAGACGTGTACCATATCCACCAACCAGGATGAGTGCCCGGGCACCAGAGCCGGCAGCTGTGTTTGGTGAACCACACATTATTATAATCCTCGTAACTGGGACACGTCACAGGTGAATCAACGGAAAAATCTTAACGTGACCAACTTGTTTGAGCGACGAATGTCGACAAAGCTGCAGCTCTAGTTTGTCAATGCTTGCTTCTTCAGTTTTTATTATTCTTTCTTCTAGCTCTGATAAGCCGCTTGTTGTTGTCGTTTGATGACTGTTGGCGCGTTCTTATTGGGAGCGTCTCTGAATGCACGTAGAGCTAAGTGTATGTGTGATTTTCAGAGTTTGCAAGTGCCTATCGATGTGACGTATTTATTATTTATTTATTTTTTTTTTTTTTGTGTTGCTAAAATTTATTTATAAAAATAGTTTACTTCTAGTACAAAATTAAGCATTAGTATTGCCAGTGCGCGGGCTGCCTTTTTTCTTGTAAAAATACAAATTACAGTAAATGGGGTTGTTGGGAATATATCGATATATGTGTATTGGTTAGCCACCACAGAATATACACGAAATATCAACAACAGCTGCTGTAGATGTTGAAAGTTACAATTGGTGCATTAATATAGGAGACCTATCGATATCTCACAGTGAGATTTTCGTCTTACGGTTTTTGGTAACACTGTTTTCGAGAACAGTGTGACCTGTGCTGTTGACGGCAGTGTCGGAGTCGGAGTTTAGTTACGTGTTGAAATATTGCTAACTGTGAAAATTGTGCAAATTATTATAAACAATTAGCAAAAAGGTAAGTGTAATATCTCTGCGTTACACTTAATTCAACACAGTTATGTAAATGCAGTATTTAGCTTGTGGCAAGTACCAAACGTAATTTAGCTGCTGGGGCTCCGCTGGTCAGCCAAACGAGACACACACGCTCATATACACGCGCATACACTCACAACTATATGCATACACACATTTGTGTATTTCGTCGAATCAGCAGCAGCAGCGAGTGGCCTGTCAGACAGAAAACAAAATGTCGACCATTTGCATTTTTTTGATAGCTTTTTAGACAAAGTTGGATTCGTTTCATGTGCATTTATTGATTGCAACAAGTACTTAATAAAACATTTTGTTAACCTATGCATGACAATATGTGAAAAACCATGCAATTCTAGTGTTACGGAGTGTGCAGCGATAAAGTTTTGCCAGAGGTAAAGCGAACACAAACGATATTGATTTTTACATTGGCTTCAAGTGTAAAGAAAATTCTCGAGCCTGATCCACAAAGAATGATTAGAGGTACGTTAAGCCAATTTTAAATGTTCTTTATAGGCTAGGAAGTTATTAATCGGAAATGGGAAGTATATGGTTGCCAGGGTTCTTCTTCACTTGGTTGGCAACGCTGATCAGCGCAGCATTGTTGCTGCGTGTCCTACGAAATGCAAATGTGTGTGTGTTAATGCCTTTTTAAGAGTGTGTGTGCGTATATATAAAGTGATTTGTTTAATTCTGTGTATTCATTAATAAATAATAAGCAAGCATAATTTTTTTCGGACGGATGCGCAGCATCTTAAGTTTTTTACTTTCTCTTTTATTTATGCTCAGGGTCCGAGAGTGTGTGTGTTCGTCTGTGTATGTGTGTGTTCGCCTCCCTCAATGCAGTCACGGTGAATTTCATGCGCACCGTATTTTATTTGTATTTAATTTTGGCCTCTTGTCAGCTTTTTATATGGCTTTCAGTGTGCATTGTGGTGCGCGTGTGTGTTTCTGTTTGTACATTCATATGTACAAATGTATATGTATAAGTAAATAAATATATGTACATATACATATTATCTATTTGTTTAGCTTTTATGGTCACATTGCATTGAGCTGCGCTGAAGGTTTATTCTGGCGATTGGCAACTCGTGCTCAATTTTTGCAAGTAATGATCCACAGCAGCCGGAATGTCATCGGCATTTGAATATTTAGTAAATATTATTTACAAAAGCTTATGAAATATATACGCGTCATGTATGACGTCATTGAGAAGTTATTAAAACTTTTATTGAAAATGGAAGACTGCTCAAGCCACAGCCGCCAAGCGACAAAAATCAAGGTCACATTTTAACGTTTGTTTGTTTGGTTAAAATTACCGATTGCTGAACTTTCGGACATCGAGTTTAATTACCGCTTGTAGCACCAGCAGCTAGAATGCCAGTATAATTGTATTACCCATGTAGCAACGCAGACAGCCTGGCAGAATTTAACCTTGAAAGTTGATTGAACTGCAAAAGGAAAATATTTTGACCCCAAACGCACGCCAGAGCAGTGAATTGACCGCCAGATTGTGTCGTCGACGCCTACGGGTTACATATACATAATTTGATTTCCGTTGTCGAGAGTGAGGAGCAGCTACCGTCCTTTAATACGCTTCCACTTGCAGCCAGTTGGGCCATGTAGACGCCTTCCTTTTTTCCAGTGCAGCGAATAAAAACAAAATCCTGTTGTTTGTGTGAATGTCGGTGGCTTTGTGTGTATAGCGAACGAGTGTGTGAGAGAATTGGTTGTATGTACGTGTGTGTGTGTGTTTCATTTGCTTTACTCTTTCCACGTTGTTTCGCCCCCTCAAAAACCCAAAACACAACTCGAACTTGCTTTGCGCTTTGTCTGCACTTCGCCTGGCTGACTTTGCTAGCCGTGTATGCATGTGGTTGTGTATGTATGTATATATACATATATGTATATATAAATATGTGTATAAGTGCGCCTTTGTACATTGAACTCGGCTGACAGGCCCAGTGCTCTGTCCTATTCCTGGAGTCGTCTCGAGTTGCGAGTCTGTCACGTTCCGCATTTGTCTTCTCTTTTTTATACCTTGAACCCATTGAAAATGGGATATTGAGGTATAATGGTTTTGTTAAAATTTATGTATCAGGCATAAGCGCAGACATGGCAGAGCCCATAAATTATATATATTCTTGATCATGTCGACGCCTTTAGGAATTGGAGTAACATTCTCCTAGTCGGGCGCTCCCGACGAGTTTTCTTACTTGTTTCGCATGTCACTTATTTTTCTAGTTTCACGACAGGCTGATCATAGCAAGAATTTCAGTTTTATGTTTCATTAGCGCGTATTTATATATTAGTATATATTATATATATATGTAATATATATTATATATATATGTAATATATATTATATATATATGTAATATATATTATATATATATGTAATATATTATATTAGTATATATATGTAAGTGTTTTAACAATAATGTAAATGTAGCCAATAATATATTGATATGGTTAATAGACCGTAGGGTATACGTAAATTCACCTTACTTTCTGGTGTAGTTTTGCAATTCTTCTTTGTGCTGCTTCGCTACCTCTCTTTTCTTTTTTGGCAGCCAGCGTTTGATTTTTGTTTTCTTTTTCTTGTTCTTTTTTTTCGTATTGCGCGTCGTCGTCGCATCCTTCAGCAACTGGTCTCTGGCTGCCATGAAGTTCCATGCCAAGATGCTGGACGTGCTCTACATGCGCGAGTTTCAGGCGATTGCCGCCACGTTGGCCAAGCTGGCCAAGGAATGCGTCATGCTAGTGGCACAGGAGCAAATGCATTTAATTGTGAATGAGGAGCATTGCTCGACCTCATCGCCGCTCGTGTGGGTCAGCATCGCGTCCAAAGATTATTTTCCAGAATACCAAATGACGCCAGCACGTCCAGAACATGATCTCATCGTGCTGGTTATGTCCGCAATGCATCTCAGCCGCGCTCTTGCCGTCCTGCGGTCTGGCTCCAGCAGTAGCGTCCACAGCTGTAAGCTGGAGCTGAAGCAAATACAATTTCCCTGCATCTCGGTGATAGCATCGGTGGTATCACCTAATTCCTCAGAGCCGCGTGAGGTGGTGCACGATGTGCCCGTGACTGTGGTCCCGCCCAGCGATTGGTCCTCATATATGCTGCCCAAGGTGCCGAACACTCAAATTGTGCTCGGCGTTCCATCGCTTCGACTGCTGCGCAGTCTGATTGATAAGTTAAAAAACATTTCGCCCAGTTTTATATTCCATGGCAGCACAGCCGGCGAACTAAATCTGGTAGCGGAATCTGAAATGGCTACAATAACAACACGTTTCAGTCGACTGCTGCTGCACAAACCAGATCAAGGACAGTCGGGTGCTGGAGCAGAGACTGAGTCGGAAATTCGGTGCTCCGTGGACACACGAAAGGCATCTGCATTCTTCAATGCACTCCAGTTGCCCAATGAGGAAATTATGATCGGCATAGATAGTGAACGTTGCATCTGCCTGCAGCTGGACATTCGCAGCAATGTGGTTTTACATTCCATTCTGCCAGCAGTTTGTGCTGAAATTTAATAGTGGTTAAAATGAACAAAAATAAAACTTGTATATCGATAGGCATATGTGCGTGCGCTAAATATCGATATGCAAATGAGAAAGAATATCATCGATAAGCGAAAGTTTTTTTCGTTTGAATTTGTTGTTTAACTTTGTTTTCTTTATTTATGCTCTCTTTGCTGCTCGCCCCAATTTGGCAGCGTCGGCTGTGCAGGCCGTGGCCTCTTTTTCGTTGTGCAGCGATGGCGACGGCGACGCTGACGCTGACTGAGTGAGCTCTCGCTCTTTTGAGCTGTTGCATTGCCTGTTTCGTATGTATTTGTATGCATGTATGCGGTATACATTGTTGTTTGTTTGTTTGCATATTTATTGTATTTTTTGTTACTGGTTTTACAACCTCATCTGTTTGCTCACTCGCGATTGCCAGCTAGTTGCATTTAAGGCACGCTGTTGTTGTTTCGCTAGCACGCTGCATTTGCAGGTGAGTAGCTTTTCAAGTAGGCCAGCAGCGACGTCGACTGCGCAGCGTGGGTCGCTCAAAAGCGTGCTCACTGCGATTCGCACACAGGTCAACAGCCATTTTGGGTACGATTGTGTCTTATTCAACGAAAGAAAATCAAATTGAAATGTTATCTATCCTAAAATAAACAAGTGGCTGTTATTTATATCAGCCTATGTCTGGCTGCTAGGAGTGCCCTACGTGGCTGTTATTTGTATATAAAAAAAAAAAGAACTGCGTGTCGACTGTCCGGTTAGTTATTCGGAGACCCTATTAGAGGATTGCTCACATGCTATACGTAAATACATACATTAGCAAATAAATAAATGTGTATGTGTGTAATAAACAGCTGTTTGTGTAACCCAAGAATTAAACTCAAACCCGAACGCATACATACACACCATTCTCTTGATCAGCTGATCAGGTCAATATTAATCTCACTCCAACAGGGCATTCACAGGTAAAAGAAAAAAATAATTCCAGCGAGCAACGAGTACACATTCAACCCCCAAATACATCAGAGTGCGCTCCTAGAGTTTCATGCGCTCGCTCTCACTCTTTCAATCTCTTTGCTCGCAGCCATTTTGAGTGAAATGGAATATCATTTTAGAACTAAAAGGTTATTCATATGTTAGATTTTATTCAATTTAGTAGACGTTAAGCAATGTTTTACAGCGGCCGTTAATTTTTATAAATAAAATTAAATAAAAAGTCGGTTAGTGCAGCTACTGAGTCGGTTTGTTGACCTCATTGCCATTTAGCAGCAAGGGTTGAGTGACCTGCTTAATGGTCCTCTGAGTGCCTTTGTCGCCAGCTGACGCGAAACTAAACCAGTTATTTGTCTCATCTATTAAAATTAGATATTGATATTAAATTGACATTTATATTGATTGCATTTGTTCGTGTTGATTAACAATACTGTATACAAAGAATATTAAATTTAACGTACATTTTGTGGGAATGTGTGGGTCTTAAAATGGATTCTCGTCTGAATCACTCTCACTCATTTTTCGCTCATTCGCTCGCTCTCTCGTTTCGTTTCGTTTCGTTCACACGGGGTCGCCATTGACGTCGCTGCTGTCAGTCGTAAGTTGGCTTTCAGTGCGTGCACAGCTATAAAATGGTTCGTAGAAACGTATTTTTTCTACATACCTGTGTGTGAGCAAGTACATAATGTAAAGCAAAGGTGCAGTAAATATTTATATAATTAAAAAGCACATTCATTAAATATTACGTAGCAATTGAAAACGATGCAACATTTGTATTGAAATGCTTGGTGCTGCATTCGTTTATTTCAAGCAATTTTTGCCTTCGCTTTGCTTGCGTTATGTACACACGTATACATACCCTCGACTATAAGACCGTGAGTGTATGTGTGAGAGAGAGATATTGGGGCTCTGTGAGTCTGTGTTAGTGTAACGTCGTCATGTGTTTGCCCCTCGTGCGTTCTCTGTCATGCACAAGCCGAGGTAAGCGACAACGTTGATGTCGCTGTCTGCGTCGCTTCTTCTTTTCCCTTTTGTATTTATACTGGAAATCGACAGTCGTCAGCAAAGGAAGCAAAACAAATTTAAAGGAAAAATAAATAAGGGAACTATTCGTTAAGTTAAAACTGGCTCTGATTTTGAGAAACTATTTTAACACTCTATATTTTCAATCCAATTCTATTAAAGTGCAGCAAATATATGTGTTGTCTATTATTTTTACTCGCTCTCTTTGTGTGTGTATAACAGTATATAGGCTTGCTTGTATATTCAAGTGGCTTATATAGCACATTCGTATATAACACTTGGTATATGTATATAAATGCCCATCAATGGCGTATGTAGTTTGTATGTGAATGTATTTGTTTGCAACTACATTTTGTACCGCGATTAGCAACAAGTATTTGGTTTTATATATTCTTGGCCGAACTGTTGTTATTGGAACTATTAGAAGACCTGAATCGGCTCTTGTTGCAGATATTATAGTGCAAGGCAAGCGAAACACTAATAGTGGCAAGGTTTCTGTTTAATTGTTGCATGCTCTTAGCCCACCAGGGCTGCCACATACACACACACGCATGCTTAGAGTGCTTTATTGCGTTCTTTTCGTTTAGAGTAGCTTGGATATAACTGCGTCGCAACGCGACACGAAAAATTTCCAATGCAACTTGCTTTACGGTTAAGTTGCCACAGTGACGACGGGCCCTTTGATAGTCCCCCACTCTACCCTGTAGAAAGCGCTGCTGCACGCACACATAAACAAAATACACACCCCACTTTCCTAGAGTGCTCTCACTCGCACATTTGCTGCTGTTGCTGCTCAGCTGTGCGTAGGCCACAAAAGCAGTTTCGTAATAGAAAATAGAAAACCAGTGAAGAAACACAAAATGAACAAAAAAATTAGAAAACTTGATGGGGCAACACTGTTCGCAGTCCGTTATGTTACTGGCGTCGTCATATGCTCGACTGAGTTTACAGCATATACATACGTATATAGCATATACATATGTGTATGTGTATATATATAAATAAGTTACAAACAATACGAACGATTGTAAGGGGTAGCAGTTAATGGTTGGGCGGATTGGTGAGGGAACAGCCATTGTGTTAGTGGAGTAGAAAAATAGAAATATTCTTATCAGCATTATGTTTGGCAGCAGGGTGGGCGAAAGGTAACTGCGATGTGCAGGGTTTCGATGGAGTAGACAAAAATACATAGAATTAGTTCTTCAGTGAAAGCTCATTAATGCGTCTCACAGTGTACAAAGCAAAAGTTATGAAATTTAACATATTAACTGACAGAATGAATTTATTCCTTTAAAGCGGTTAATATCTTGTATAGATATAACTTTGTAACTGTGTTTAATAATATATACGTACAAGTCGAGGCCCTTTATATTTTTCAATTGCTGATAAACCATTGACAAACAAACCACATGCCATATGTTGGAGTTGCCACACGCGAGGAAAATACTCACACGCACATCAATACATATACACAAGTACATATGTATGTATATACAGTATATACAACACTGCCATTTGCGGCCTCGCACATTTTTTGTTTTTTTTTTTTAATTTTTTTTTTTTTTTTTTTTTTTTTTGTGTGAAAAACTTGTGGCTGCAAGATAGACAAAACTAGCGAAAAAATCAAATTCAAACACATTTTCATGTCGGCAGCGTTTTGCTGGTTTCATTTCAAAACGGCCTTGAACTCAATTCGTTTTACTGTGATTGACGGTTGCTTTTGTTGGTTTTCGTGTCAGATTTGAGTAGCTGACAAACTAATATGAGGGCGCACACAAACTACGCACTTATTTTGTGTAGTGTAGGCAAGACGATGCGAAGTCGCTGCCTGCGTTGCAAAGGGCGGCGTTGCCGTTGCCGCCAACACGTTTGCTGTGCTACGCTGCTGCTACAATTGCCTTTTGCTTGTTTTGCTTTTTATCTTTTGTTCGTCGCGTGTGCTTATTGTATTTTCATACGTATCTATGGATGTATGAGTTTGTATACGTGTATATATAAATGCGGGATCGTGCATTGCGTTCTCGCAGCGACGAAACAAGCATGACAAGTCACACACACAATACACATACAACGAGTTCCAACTCGTTGCTCGCTTGCTCGCTCGCTCGCACATACATAGGAAGAAGGGGCAGTCAGCCAACAGCGCAGCGTAGCGCTGCTTACGAAAAGCAAAACATAAACAAAACGGCCGAGAACAGCTGATTAGCAGCACAGCATGTGCGCGCTCACTTTATGTAAACTCTATCTCTGTGTGTGTATGAGTTGAGTGCGATATAGACGGATTTCACTCAAAACAAGTCGCTTGCCAACATCTGCGCGCTCGCTCTCGCTCTCTTTCTATAGGGCATGTGCACGTGTTGGTGACTGCTGCTGCTGCAAACAGCTGTTAATTTATTAACATATCTGTATGTGCTTACTGCGCACATATGTTGCTTAAATGTGCTCAATTGCTTGTGTGCGAGCGAACGAGGGAGAGCGCGCGTGTTGTATATTTATATCTGCGTTTTGATGGTGGTGTATTCGTTTGTGTGCTGCTGCTTATCAATTTTCATTTCTGCTGGATTTTCCTTTATTCTGCATACATGCGAGTACCTGTCTGACAGGGGCACCAAATCTGCTACAATCCTCAGCGACAGCGACCGGTTCTTTGTTCAGCCTTGCTTTACGCACACAGACTACCCTCTGTGCATTTCCTATTTTGCTTTCACTGATCTTTTTAGTTTATTCTCATTCGGCTCTTCACCCTAATAGTCATTAGGTCAGCGCTCAGTGTTTCTTTTACTAATTTCGAATTGTATTTGGTCGCGACGTTATTTATTGTTTTTGTTGTGTTTTATTTTATTACGTTGCTAAGTTGGCTGCATTTGTGATTTACGGCTAATTTAACAAATTTATCGATTACCAATATTCGCCGTGCTGTCAATTTGATGTAAACGACGTCAAGAAATAATAATACTATCAAAAATAAAATAAAACATTCAAATTCACTAAACAACTTTTGTGCTCTATTATTTTTACAATTACAGCACAAAACTCTCCGCTGCTTGCAATAAACAAAATACGCAACGTGCACTCAGCAACTAAGTTAATAAAAACCAAAACCAAGTCCAATAAACTCGGAAAGTGTGTGTGAACCAATTAGCTATCGCCAAGGCTCTGCTGTCGTTGGGGCTCACACATTAAAGGAACAACGTCAGGAAAAAAACGTGCGGTTGACTTTATTTATTATTTAGGACAAGATTTTAGAATTAAGAGACCAATTTATAATTGCAAACAATTCTCTGTGAAGCTGGCATGTTAAGTGTGTTCGATGCCAGTGCGGTTAAGTGGCGTCTATGGCCGAGTCCGTTAAAAGTCAAACGCTCTCTGCATTGACGGAGGGGCAGCACGACGGTAGTACAACAACATCAACAATAGCAACTGCCACCGGCAATACACAACGGCGCTGCAACAATTATAACAGTCACAATAATAACAACAACAAACGCAATAACAGCAAGAAACGCAATTCAGCAACAACAGTAACAGCCACGACAATAGCTGCTGCTGCTGCTCCTTCTGCCGCATCCTTCGGACGTCGTTCGCGCAGTAAGAGTCGCAGCCTTACAGCAGTTGTAACTGCTGCGACAACAACAACAACCAGCGGAAACAGCAAGACTAACAAGAAATCCACCGGAACTGAAGTTAATCGACGCTCTGCAGAACATAGCAGTGTGATCACCTCCACACGTGCTGCGTCCAACACCAACACAAATTCAAACAACGTAAACGCCAACGATTCATCTTTGTCGCCAGGCAGTCGCAAGCGCCAGCATCAGCAACATCAGATTAACAACAACAACCACATCAGTAACCACAACCAGCAGCAACGTTCATGTAAGTAAATTTTCTAAAAGGCAAATGTTTTGATTATACAACAGGTTTATTAATAGGTGATCGTGATATTTAAAAGATAATAGAATTCTATATTCATAGCATTTGTTTCTTCGATATATGTACACCAAATATTTTAAATTATTAATTGAAATTGAGTATCGATAGTTGCAGTGAATATTTAGAGTGTGGACTGCAAAACTCATTTATGATTAATTGCAAGCAATTATAGAATATCGATACTTATGCATATATCGCAAAGTAATCTATTTTTGACAGCTCGCATAGGGTTAGTTTCAGTGTTGAGTATTCAAATCAAGCAGAAAGTACGAGAAGTGAGTGACAAATAAATTCAGTAAAAAAAAAAAAACAAATAAATAAATAAAAATATAATTACATTTGCTTTGTTGATTCCGATCCTAAAAGCTATAGAGCATTATACTTTTGTTTGTCAAAATTGTAAAGGTCATCAATAGCAGCAGCGCCACACCCTTCAAAAAAATAAAAAAATAATATAAACTAGACTAGACTAGAAATAATTTTTTACCAGTTTTTTTTTTCTTTTTGGTTACTCGAGTCAACAAATTTATAAGCAAGTTTTGTATCCCCCACCACAAATAACCGTCACTATTATTAAACCAACCCATCCTCGACTTTGAGCTAAAATTTAAAAAAAAATTACACGCATAGGCTATACTAAAGTTTTCGGTTGACATCATGTCCTTTACAGCTGCGCCCGGTGGGGACCAATACGTGGATCTAAATTCACCGTTGAAAAAGCGGCGTGTGCAGCAATCATTACAATCAGCTGCTGCAACTATCAGTGAAGGCGCCTCGTCTGCTGGAGGGGCAAGTGCATCGAGCGACACTCATTTGCAGCGCACACCGCGCTTCACATCCGGCGGCGATTGTGTGGCCCAGCGCACACGCTCCAAGACTCTCACGCCTGAGGAGCTGCCAAGCACCAGCAGCGCGGCCGCCGTACGTCACAGCAGCAGCAACACCAACACCAATAGCTATACCAATAGCAACTGCCAGCACGTGATTGGTGTGACTCCGCAGCGTGGGGCAGCTGGTCGAGCAGGGGCTCGCAGCACAAGCGGTGGCAAGAGCGTTAGCAGCACCAACTTGCTCAACTACTACCGCAAGACACGCAAAGTGAGTTACGTGCGTGGTAAGTCCACAGCAGCAGCGGCAGCACAACAGCAACCGGAGCAAGAGGATTCGCTAGGTAAAGCCCCGGAAACAGCAAACGCACGGCTTCAGGCCAGCAGCTCGGCGGTTATAGCAGCGGCAGCTGCCATTGACGCTGCCCGCCAGGACTCTAGCAACCACCACCACCACATCAACAATAATAACGTCGCTGTCAAGCGCCTGGACAAGAAGACCAACGCCAGCAACAAGTACATCAAGTACCGCAAGAGTTTACGCAACTATCAGCAACAGCTGCTCGCCAGAATTGACGGGACAGCGGAAAAGATTCCAAGCAAGGAGGAAGAGCAGCTGGAGCAGAACGAGAACATTTGCGGTAACTTGGAGGACCAGCAACAGCATCTACAGGCCGAGGCGGAGACCAACAACATAGAGGTCAACGAGGAAGAGAACACCGCTGCCGCTGCCGCCGCCATTGACGGTGGTGCGAACAACGGGCTTTTTGAGGCCGCCGGCGGCAACAACTCCGCCGAGGAGCTGGACGAACAAGAACAGGATCAGGAAGAGGACGACGATCAAGACCAAGAGGAGGAAGTGGAAGCCGAAGAGGAGGAGGTGGGTTTCTACGAAATAGTCAACTCAGCGGATTCATCATACGAGGAAGACGCCCAGATTGTTGCCGAAGAGGACGAACTCAGCGAAGAGGAGGACGTGGACGACGAGGAGGACGACGATCTTGAGGAGGATTTCGACGAAGAGGAAGACGATCTCTCAGAGGGTGAACTCGCTGAGCATATTATTGGTGAACTTGGTGGTGAGTTGTATTTTCCTTTATTTACTACAATACATATATACCATAAGCTAAACACAGTGTAATATACAAATAATAATAGATAGTTGACATTTGTTTTGAATTAAGTTTTCTCAAGGTTAGATATGTGCTATGACTACAAAACAGTCGAGTAACAATATGTGATTTAACTGATTTGTGTGAATAGAATATCTAGACTGGAATTTGCGACAAGATTAAAGAATCTGTCTGACATAGTAATAGCACTAGGGTTAGCTAGTAAAAATCACAATTTTACTTTCAAAATTTGCTTTCTAACCTTAATTCAATCGATAGATTGACAGAGTTGCACTCAGTTATCGATAACAAATTGTCGCTCAGTGCAACCGTATAAAGAGCAATTCTTGACATTTGTTGAAGAAATCGAAAAATAAAGTTGTCAATCTTATTTTGTATAAAATATACCTACGGTGTTCTTGGTAAATTCCAGTCTGTGATATTCTAAACATATTTAACTAATATATAAAACTATAAAATATTTAGTTTGTGTAGATAATATGTGCTCCTTGAATGTTTTTTTATTGAATTGCTTGCATTGTTGATTTGTTGTACATAAATAATTAGTAACATTTTCTTTACTCATTTGGTGCTTTCCTTTGAATAGAGAATGCTCTCTTAACTTTTCTAATTTTGTACATTGAATTAACAAATGGACCAGTGTAACCACACCCCGAAAAGAATAACAACAAAGGGAATTTAATTTACTTATTTCTGTTCGTTACTTTTTTGTCAAGTGCGCGAATTTCTTATCAAGAAACGAAACAATTTCTTGTACAATTGCCTTTTACGCAGCGTCATGCAGTCTATACACACAGACACACACACATATATATGTATATATATGAACATTAATTGTTTTGTTGATAAAATTCTATATGTTTATACATATATAGTGCATATGTATGCACGTATGTGTGTGTGTGTGCGTCTGTGGGTGCTTGTTCGCAATGCCAACGCACTTTGGCAAAAGTCAGTCGCATTTTTACCGTCGCTCCGTTTAGAACGAAAAAAACATTTACAGAATTTGTGCAAAAGCAAGAATAGAGTAAATACGTAATGAGGTGCATGTGTTAAAAGTATTGCATTATAAAAATATAATGCGTGTACTCCGTAACTGTTGTGGCACGTTTCTAAGCAGATATCCAATTGGAATCTGGCTTAACAATTTCTAAAAAGTGCAACTGTTTCAATGACTTTAAGAATTCTGCTTGACGAATTGCGAATGCCCTCTTCAAGAGCGAAGGTTATATATTAAATACCCATTCGTTTATTTAGTTATACAATTATTGGACTAAGGCCTGTTAAATATTTATGCAACCAATTCATAACCACGCCCATATCACCCCACCCGCCCTTCTAGAAGTCCCTGTGTGCTGTGCCATCTAATTATCAGAAAGCAGTTGGTACATATGTCAATGTACATATGTATGTATATATGTATATCTATTCATTCACGCGCAAATTAATATTCGATTTCACTCATCCATCCGATATCTCACACTCCAATGAAAATACGCCCATCAATTTCTTTTACATATTTATTTTATTATCTACTCCTATTACATTTATGTATGGAAAAGTCTTGGATATTGCCAAGTGTTTTGATTTAGTATGTGGCCAGTGTGTACACGAATTGTTATTATTATATTTGTTTTTTTTTTTTTTTTTAAATTATATTTTACAATACACTGTTGTGTCAGCAGTGTTGTAAAACTCCAAAAGTCTGTTTCAATGTTTCATTTTGCACGTTGCTGTTGCTGCAAACATATTTTAATTTTATTAATACGATTGTGTTAATGCCAGATCATAAATATTTATATAAATCCTTTAACTATATAAATATAAATATGTATGTATATAAATATATGCTATAGATCATATATATATGTAGCATATTTCATTGCTGATGTCTTGTGTTGTTGATGATGATGATGATGATGATGTTGTTGTTTTTGTGCAAGCAAACTAAATTATATATTATATATCTTGAGCATATATCATATATAATTAACACACATATGCGCAAGCAGAGGCGCCATCGCGCCGTGAGCAAAACAGAAAGGAGCATTGAGTGAAGGAAAGAGAGAGATTGGGAGAGAGACAGTGTGAGAGAGAGAGAGAGAGAGAGAGAGAGCAAAACAGAAATGTTTTAAGTAGCAGCAGAAGCAGCAGCAGCCACAACAACAACAACGACAACAATTAGCAGCAGCAACAACAAAAGTGCAGCAACAACGAATACGATGGGGGCAACAACAATGACAGCAGCAGCAGCAGCAGCAGCAGCAGCAGCAGCTAAGCAACAACAGCGCACCAGCTACAATAGAAACAGCAACATGTTGCTGTAGTCTCTCTCAAGCTTGCGTGCGTATGTGTATGTGTGTGCGTGTGCGTCGAACACAAATATACGTACAACAACAACAACAACATACAGGTAGTTTAGTGCCGAGCAGCAACAGTCACTCACAGCAGCAGCAGCAACAGCAGCAGAAGCAGTCACAGCCACAACAACAACATCAGCAGCAACAGCAACAGCCGCAGCAGCAGCAGCAGCAGCAACATCATCATTGTCAGCAGCGACCCACGTCCCAATATCTAGTACAACACAACAATCCCCCCTCACAACAGCCAAGTGCTCTTCCCCTTATCCCTAAGCCTCTGCATTTTACCATTACCCAAAAGCAACAACAACAACAACTAACGTAGTAGAGTAGCTGCAAGCAAAAAAAAAATAAATAACAAAAAAAAAAAAATAAACAAAAACAAAGCTGTTTAACTGTTGTTTCCCACTACTCTACCCCCCCTCTCTACTTGCCGCCCAACTGCAACAACAATATGTACGACAGCTACAGCTACAGCAACAGCAGCCACAACTACAAAAGGTGCGCCACACTCGAAACGCAGCAACAGCAACAAATCCACAACAACAGCAGCAGTAACAACGACAACAACAACAACAACAGCAAGTCAAAACAACAACAACAGCAGCAACAAGCAGAACAAAAACACGCTGGCAACATATTCATCAACACCAGCAACAACAACAGCCGCTGCAGCAGCAGCAACAGGCACTACAACAACAACAACGTCCGGGTATCAGCGTGCCGCCCCCTCTGGCCATCACGGGGCGGCGGCACGTGCCACACGCAGCACAAGCGCCGCTGTCGCTGCTGCTGGTGCTGTTGGCATTGTTGATTACAGTGTACTGGCCACGCAGCCACAACAACCTCAAACCCAACCCCAGCCCCAAGTCCAAACGCAAGCACAAGCAGCAGCAGCAGCAGGAGTCCCTCACATGCAGCCGTATACAACGCAACAGCAACAGCAGCAGCAACAGTCGGTGTCACATCCGCAACAGCTGCTGCCCGCCCATCAGTTTGCTGGTGCTCATTTGTCTTCCTTTGTGACGCCCACTGCGCCAGCAACACATTTTCAAACAGCAACATATTTCACAGCAGCCGCACAGCAGCAACATCATCATCAGCAACACCCACAACACCATCAGCAACAGCAACAACACCATCATCAGCAGCAGCAGCAACGACAGCAGCCGCATTATTATCACAGTTCGTCCGCTGCTGTTGCAGTGCTTAATCTGCAGCAGCAGCAACAACCACAACAACAACAACAACAACCGCATCACTATAACTCCACAGGGTCGCAACAAACACGTGCAGCACCACCGTCTATTATTTACCAGCAGCAGCCACGTTACGCAGCAGCAACATTTGTGCCGCCACCAACACAACAGCAACAGCAGCAGCATACGGGCTACGTACAGCAGCAACATTCTTCACTGCGTCGCAGTTCACGTAGCAAAACGGGTTCCTGTGTGAGTTCAGCAGCAGCAGCCGGCCAGCAACAGCAGCAACATCATCTGCAGCAACACCAATTAACAGCAGCAGCAGCTGTTGTTGTTGCTCCCGGCACTGCTGCTGCTGCTGCCACACTCCAGCAACAACAGCCGCCCAATCAATATCAATACCATCAGCAATTGGCCGGTAACACGGTGGTTGTGGCGGTGCGCCAGCAACAGCAGCAGCAACACGTGGCCCTACAGCAGCAGCAACTGCATCAACAGGCGCTGCAGCAGCAACATCAACAGCAGCAACAGCAACGTGCAACAATTGTCCAGCCTGGCTTTCTGTTCAGCTACCGCAGTAATCACAATCAGCAGCATCAGCAACATTTGCAGCAGCAACAGCAGCAACCGAAAGCAACGCACAGCAGTGGTAAGTCGTGCCCATGTGGAGGAGAGCTTGGCGGAGTGTGTGTGGAGAGGAGGCAAAAGTGGAGGATCAGCCAGCAAAGCGGGACGTTAATTGCGACCATCATAAATATCAATCGAATCAGTATCACATTTGCTTGAATCAGTTCTCGTCTCTTGTTCTATCGTTTTTTTTTTCTTACCGTTAGTCCACACACATACGCACGCAAGCACCACTTAATGTACAATTTTTGTGTTGGGCCTTAGGCAGAGCAGGCGTGGTCCGTTTTGTATATATGTACATCTATGCTTGGTCAGGGTTCGGATTTATTATGGTATATATATATATATATATATTATATATATAAACTGGTGTTGGGTCAACAATCAATCAAGCAAATCTTTTATAGCTGCACCAAGAAGTCGCAAAACAGCCCGACTTCTGTAGAGAGCGCTGATAACAGCAGCTTTTTATACTCGATATATCCGTGCTGTGCTCAGACGTCGATAGCTGTACTGTTCATATATCGAACGTTTTTCATTTACGATTAATCATCGATATTATTTGTTCACATCCTTCACACATACATATCCGATCCTCATACATCTGTCGCCCGTCATATCCCTCTTTGACCGTTAAACTCTGCTGCCGTCGTGCGCGTCGCTTTGCTCGCGGTGTCTGCCGTTGTCCCCACCTCACCCGAAATCTACAACAAACCAAAATCAAAGAAAGCGTTCTAATTACTCTTTGCATTTCTCTCTTTCTCTCGCTCGTGCGTTCTCCTTAAAAAAAAAAAAAAAAAAACAATTCGACTTAGCAGCTTCGGATGCTTTAACATATAGTTTGATGGCACAACAGCAACAACAAGCGCCAAATGGACCGCCGCATGCAGGTGGACAGCAACTGACGTCAGGTAAAAAATGAGCTATATAACCACACTAGCACCATGCATACACCCACATTTACACATAAATACACGCATTTTACTCATACACGAACACGCGCATACATACATATATGCATACAAATATTGATCGTTAAACTTTTTTATTTTTTATAATTTCCTTATACAACTCCGCACACTCAGCACACAGGGTGACTCCTTTAGCAGTTTTATTTATACAAAGCTGAACAGCACTGTTAATGCTAACACTTTCGTTTGTCTGTACAACTATCTGTCACTCTAACTGTATTTAAATGTATTAGTTATTCGTAAAAGCAGCAACCGCTGAAAGAGTTAAACTTTGTTAATTAATTTTCTTTCTCTTCGTCTCTCTCTTTCTATTCCGTTTCTCAAATAGGATCTAACTCGGCCAACCTCAGCATTGTAGCAGCCGCATTGAGTGCCGCACGTGGAGACTCTGTTAACGTTAACGTTAACGTTAGCAGCGCAGTGGGCGCCAACAGCAGCAACCCTAGCGGCGGCAGCGGCAACAGTGCCTCGGCCGGCGGTAGCAGCAACAATGTAACCACAACAACAACAGCTGCAGCAGCAGCAACAACTGCTGCTACTGCCAGCGCTGGACAGTCAGCAGCAACGGGTGTAACAGGTGCCGGATCATCAGCCACAACCGGCGCCGCTGCCGCTGTGAATGCAGCTGCTGCCGCGGCCGCTGCTGCCGCAGCAGCTGCCGCTGACTCGGAGAGCGATGACAGCGAGGTGGGACGCCTCCAAGCTTTGCTCGAGGCACGAGGTCTGCCGCCGCATCTGTTTGGAGCGTTGGGACCGCGGATGACGCACATTCTTCACCGGACCATTGGCAACAGCAGCACCTCAAAGGCAAATCAACTGCTACAGGGTCTGCAGTCGCACGATGAATCCCAACAGCTGCAGGCGGCCATCGAGATGTGCCAAATGTTGGTCATGGGCAACGAGGATACCCTGGCCGGCTTCCCTGTCAAGCAGGTGGTGCCCGCCCTCATCCAGCTGCTGCGTATGGAGCACAATTTTGATATCATGAACAACGCCTGTCGGGCCCTGGCCTACATGCTAGAGGCACTGCCTCGCTCCGCTGGAACTGTCGTCGACGCAGTGCCCGTGTTCCTGGAGAAGCTACAGGTCATCCAGTGCATGGATGTAGCTGAACAGAGTCTGACTGCTCTAGAGATATTGTCGCGCCGCCACAACAAGGCCATACTGCAGGCGAATGGCATCAGCGCCTGTCTCACCTACCTGGACTTTTTCTCGATCGTGGCGCAACGCGCTGCTCTCTCGATCACCGCCAACTGCTGCCAGAACATGCATGCCGAGGAGTTCCACTTCGTCTCCGAGAGCTTGCCCCAGCTGGCCCGACTGCTCTCGCAGCAGGACAAGAAGTGCGTGGACAGCGTTTGCACCGCTTTCTGGCGCCTGGTCGAGAGTTTCCCACATGATGGCAAACGACTGCAACAGATTGCCAGTCCCGATCTCCTCAAGAATTGCCAGCAACTGCTGGTGGTGACGCCGCCCATACTGAACACGGGCACCTTCACCAATGTGGTGCGCATGCTCAGCCTGATGTGCGCCGCCTGCCCGGACCTAGCCATATCGCTGTTGCGCAACGATATAGCCGCCACCTTGCTCTATCTGCTCACCGGCAACGCTGAGCCGGCGGCGGCCAGTGCTACTCACGTGGAGCTCGTGACACGCCCGCCTCTCGAGCTGCTCGAGCTGACTTGTTTAATTGGCGAGCTGATGCCACGCCTGCCGCTAGATGGCATCTTTGCCGTGGACGCTCTGCTGGATCGACCCACGCTCAATACCCAGGATCAGGTGCAGTGGCAATGGCGCGACGATCGTGGCGCTTGGCACAACTATTCCACCATTGACTCCCGCCTGATTGAGGCGGCCCATCAAAGCAGCGAGGACGAGATCAGCCTGAGCACACTGGGACGCACCTACACGGTGGACTTCCATGCCATGCAGCAGATCAACGAGGATACGGGCACCACCAGACCCGTGCAGCGGAAACTGAATCCCAACTATGTGGCACCCGCTGCAGCAGCAGCAGCCGCCGCAGCAGTTGCGTCTGGCCAGGACTTGAGCACAAGTGGTGCGGCTACCACATCCACGGCAGCAGCAGCAGCAGCTGCTGCTAACAACAACAACAACAACAACAATACGAGCAGCAACTCCTCATCGCATCTGGCGAAGCGTCGCCCCTCGCTGGATGCTCGCATCGCTTGTCTGAAGGAGGAGCGCGGCCTGGCTGCCGACTTCATCAAGCACATCTTCAACGTGCTGTACGAGGTGTACAGCTCCTCGGCCGGACCCAACGTGCGCTACAAGTGCCTGCGCGCCTTGCTGCGCATGGTCTACTATGCGACGCCCGAGCTCCTGAGGCAGGTGCTCAAGTATCAGCTGGTGTCTAGCCACATTGCCGGCATGCTGGGCAGCAACGATCTGCGCATTGTGGTCGGCGCCCTGCAGATGGCCGAGATTCTGATGCGTCAGCTGCCGGATGTCTTTGGCACGCATTTCCGCCGTGAGGGCGTCATCTATCAGTTCACCCAGTTGACCGATCCCAGCAATCCCATTTGCTCTAATCCTTCGCCCAAACCGTTAAGCACCGCTGCCACGCCCACGACTAATGCGGGCGGATCGCAGAGTGCGCCCGCATCGGCGAACAGCCTGCAGGTGAATCCCTTCTTCATGGACAGTGTGAGCGTGGGTTCAGGCTCGACTGGAGGCGGATCCAGCAGCGCCAATGCCACGCCCAGCAGCTCCAAGCACCAATCGTACAGTGTGAAGAGCTTCTCGCATGCCATGAACGCGCTCACCGCCAGCGCCAACACAGTGGCCAAGCAGCAACAGCAGCAGCAGCAACATCAGCAAGCAGCAACTGTTGCTGCTGCAATGGATGGCACTGGAGCCAGCTATAACTATAGTAGCTCTGCGCCTTGTTCGTCCTCTGGCGTTGCCTCCGTCACAGCCGGTGCAGCGCCGGCTCCTGCTGCCTTCTTTGTGGCCGCCACGGCCACCGGCGATCCACGACAGTATCTGAATTTCCAGCAGCCAGCTGCACCGCTCGAGCTACTGCCCAATAGCCAGCAGCAACAACTGACGCCCGCACAGATCATCTTCAGCAATCCGGCGAGCGGCGCCAGCTTCCAGCAGCAGACACCACAGCAGCAGCCACAGCATATGGGCGTGGCTGTTGCCTCGACCAGTGCGGCAGCAGCTAACACCAATAGCAGCAGCAGCAACAGTGCCAACAACAACAACAGTAACTCGTCCTCCTCGGCACTGCAACACAAGATGACGGATATGCTGAAGCGCAAGGCGCCGCCCAAGCGCAAATCCCAGAGCAGCGGACGGGCCAAGTCCAGGCAAGAGGATGCCGCAGCAGCAGCTGCTGCCACCAATTCGGCCAGCTCGGCCATGCACGAGCTGCTCAGCCGTGCGACGAGTAAGTGTCCACATTTTGTATATACTCTTTCCCGGCTCATTCTCATCTATCTCATTTCTATGATTTGAACAGGTCTCGGCAGCAACACAGGTGGCCGCAACACGCCCAGCACAGGATCGGGCTCGAACAGCGGCTCGGGCAATTCCAAGTCTCGCTTCAGCGCCGGCAATACGAATAATGGAAGCAGCTCCTCTACCAAATCCTCATTTCTGTCCTCGCTCAATCCGGCACGCTGGGGACGCCAGACGGCGCACAATTCACAGCAGCAACAGCAATCCGCATCGCATCACGGACTGTCCAAAGATGGCAGTAACACCACCAACAGCAGCGGCGGCTCCTCGGCTGGAGGCGCATGCGGCTCCTCATCTGGACTTTCCTATTCGGGCAGCGCTTCTGGCGGCAGTATGAACGCCGCCGCCGTGGCTGCCAGCATCAGCAAGAGCATCTCGCATGCCAATCTGATGGCGGCCGCCAATCGGGAGCGGGCACGCCAATGGGTGCGAGAGCAGGCCATTGATTTCGTCAAACGCTACACGGAGCAGGAAGCACGGCGTAGCAAAGCCCGCGAGAGTGAGGGCGCCAGTGGTGGAGCGGGTGCTGGAGCAAATGCCGGCTCGAGTGGCGCAGCAATAGCCGCTTCAACCACATCGCTGGCCAGCACCACCGTCCTGGAACGTTTATCGAGCATTCTGCTCAAGTTGAACGGCAGCTACCACGACTGTTTGGATGCGCTCCTTGAACTGAAGACCATACTGCTGGAGAGCGACATATCACCGTTTGAGGTGAACCATTCTGGCCTAATCAAGGCCATGCTCAACTACATGACCAGCGAAACAGGTCTTGTGGAGCGCGACGCTCGTCTGCGTAGCTTTATGCACGTCTTTGCCGGATTGCCGTTGGAGCCACTTCTCCAGAATGTGGGCCAGCTGCCAACGATAGAACCGCTCGCCTTTGGCGCCTTCGTGGCCAAGCTGAATGGCTGCGTTACACAGCTCGAACAGTTTCCCGTCAAGGTGCACGATTTCCAAGCCGGACCCGGCGGACGCACCAACCAGAGCGCACTACGTTTCTTTAACACCCATCAATTGAAGGTAAATCGATCTGAAGACCCCGCCAAAGCTTTTACTTATGATCTCTGCTCTTGCCATCTCCAGTGCAATCTGCAGCGTCATCCGATGTGCACCAATCTGCGCCAGTGGAAGGGCGGCACCGTCAAGATCGATCCTCTAGCCATGGTGCAAGCCATCGAACGTTATTTGGTGGTGCGCGGCTATGGCGGAATACGCGCCGATTCCGATGATGACAGCGAGGAGGATATGGATGACAACGTGGCCGCTGTGGTGATGACCCAGTCTGGCTTCAAGCACAAGCTGCAATTCCTCATCGGCGAGCATGTGCTGCCCTACAATATGACCGTCTACCAGGCGGTCAAGCAATTCTCTCCGCTAGTCAACGAGCAGCACGAGACGGACAATGAGTCCGAGATGCTGCTAGGTAAGTGGGACTAAAAGCGAATGGATCTATTTAAGCTAATCCATCTAATCCATCTACAGGCAATAGCAGCATTTGGGTGCAGCAGCACACCATCTTCTATCGCCCCGTCGAGGAGGAACTCGCTGGCGGATCTGGCCCCAACAGCTCCTGCAGTAGTAGCAGCAGCACTCAGGCCCACAAGCAAAATTTGACACAAAGCACCAGCAGCGGCAGCAGTACCAGCCATGCTACGTCCAGTGGAACACTTATGCTCGCCACATCGTGCTCCACCTCCACCTCGTCTAACTCGGCAGCCAGCTCCAGCACTGGCGGCAAGAAATCCCACAAATCCAGCAGCAAATTTATGCGCAAGAAGACCGAACTGTGGCACGAGGGCATTGCCCCGCCGGTGGTGTCACCATTGAAGCCATTCCTGTGCAGCAGCCTGCCCGCTGATGTGGTCACTGTGCAGGATGCCTCGCTGGATGCTCTGTGCATGTTGCGTGTTATTTATGCTCTGAATCGACACTGGGAGTACCTCTATGGCTGTGTGGTGCGCCAGAATATCATTGCCAATACTGAGTTTGTGCATCCAAAGATTACGGCCAAGGCGAATCGTCAGCTGCAGGATCCGCTGGTTATCATGACGGGCAATCTGCCACAATGGTTGCCTCAGATTGGCATGTCCTGCCCCTTCCTCTTCCCCTTCGAGACACGTCACTTGCTTTTCTATGCCACTAGCTTTGATCGGGATCGGGCACTGCAGCGCCTGTTGGACACAACACCGGACCTGAACTCGGCCGAGTCGTCGGAACGTGTGGCACCACGTCTTGATAGACGCAAGCGAGCCATCTCACGTGCCGAGCTGCTCAAGCAGGCCGAGCACATACTCCAGGACTTTGGTAACTCCAAGGCCCTGCTGGAGATTCAATACGAGAATGAGGTTTGTTGTGCGGCTTAGCATCAATTAGCAATGACTCGTCTAATCCTTGTAATGTCTCCCCTTTAGGTCGGCACCGGTCTGGGACCCACTCTGGAGTTCTATGCCCTGGTATCGGCGGAGCTGCAGCGAACGGATCTGGGCCTGTGGAATGGCAGCGATAGCTATCGCCAAAATTCATCCAATATTGCAGACGTGGTCAAGTCCAGCAACGCTGTGGTGCACATTGAGGACACAGTGGAGTCCAATAGCGAGGCGGTTGCAATGTCCACTGTCGTGACAGCTGCCGCCACCCAACCAACGAACACACATCTGACCCGCAGCAACAGTCGCAGCAATGCGCTGCGAAACCAGCAGGCACAGGCCCAGGCCCAGGCCCAGTCGCTGGCGGAGCACAGCTCCTCCAGCTCGAATGACAACGCTTTAAACATGATTATTGCACAGCAGTTTAGTGATATGGCAGCCACTGAAGGTGGCGCCAACAATTCCCCCCAAGTGCTGGAAGAACAGACGATAACGACAACCACAGCAGCCGGAACAGTCACTGCTACAACAGCAACCGTTCAAACGGGATCCACTGTTAGCTACGTCCATGCCGCACACGGCCTGTTTCCTCTGCCTCTGGGCAAATCCTCCAAGCTGCCACAGATGACCAAGGCCAAGTCCAAGTTTAAATTCCTGGGCAAGTTCATGGCGAAGGCCGTAATGGACAGTCGCATGGTAAGTGTTGGAGCACTCCATCATCCTCCTGATTCTCCACTATATACAATTTTATAAACTATTTGCTTCGCTTACCACTTGTAGATCGATTTGCCATTCTCGCTGCCCTTCTATCGCTGGTTGATCAACGAGGAGCTATCAATTGGACTGGCCGATTTGAAGCGGGTCGCGCCCGAGGTGCAAAGCACATTGGTGCGTCTGCAGGATGTGGTGCGACAGCGCGAGGATATCCAAATGGATGCCAATCTGGATGCCATGGAGAAGAAAGAGAAGGTAAACTTAAATGATAGTCTATAAATTATGAAGCAATTTATTAACAACTCACCTTGGGCAGATGGAGCAACTGGATTTGGATGGCTGTCCCATTGCTGATTTGGGACTAGATTTTGTATTGCCCGGACATGCCAACATTGAGCTCTGCCGTGGCGGACGTGACACGCCCGTCACTGTGCACAACTTGCATCAATACATCTCGCTGGTCACCTACTGGTTCCTTGTCGAAGGCGTGCAGAAACAGTTCGAGGCGCTGCGTGAGGGTACGTATTCCATCCGAGTCATCCACTCATCCGTTTGCTTATATTCGTATTGGTTGGTTTCTTTGCAGGCTTTGATTCCATATTTCCCATACAACGACTGCGCATGTTTTATCCGGAGGAGCTGGAGTGCGTGTTTTGCGGGTCTGGCAGCGAACAGCATCAGAGCTGGGATCTCAAAATGCTGCAGGACAGCTGCCGCACCGATCATGGCTTCCATCAGGAATCTCAGGCCATACAATTTCTGTACGAGATTCTCGTCTCGTACAATCGTGATGAGCAGCGTGCGTTCCTTCAATTTGTCACCGGATCGCCACGTCTGCCAACTGGCGGCTTCAAGTCGCTGACTCCGCCGCTGACCATTGTGCGCAAGACCTTGGACGGTAACCAGAATCCCAATGATTATCTACCATCTGTGATGACCTGTGTCAACTATCTCAAGTTGCCCGACTACTCGAGTCGTGATGTGATGCGGCAGAAGCTGAAAGTGGCTGCCAACGAGGGCAGCATGTCCTTCCATCTGTCTTAAGAAGAACAACAAATTAGAAACATGAAGAGCTAATATTAACTAAAGGCGTAACAAGAAACGTTCTACACACACACACACACACACACACGTACACATGCATATATATGCAATTTATCTTTAGATGATCATAGTAACTGTGAAACACTTCAGCAGCAACCGGATAGCAGCAGCAGCAATTCAAGCAAACATCAACAATCAATTCAATCAATTGTTTTCACGCAAATCTGCAATTTCTCTCTTTCCCTTATTTTACATATACGTACCCGCCTCCCTGCCCCAATACAATTGGCTAAATTTCGATAAATCATATGTTTATATACATATATATATATATAAATTCATGTATGTATATATATATATATTTTGTAATACTCTCAACTTTGCCTATAAAAAGAAGACACCGGCTCACTTTTGCGTGTAGTGCAGCCTGTTAGAAACCACACACACATATACATACGTAGCTCCCCTCTGCCCACACATGCGTGAAACCACTCGCGTACCCCCTCACACACACACAAACACACACACATTGATAAATACAGTAACACATATTGCAAAGGCCAACAATGAAAATGCTATTAAATAAATTAATTAGTAAAACGCATAAATTGCAAGAAACCAAAATTAACTGTTTTTACACAAAGAAAGAAAAATAGAAATGGGAATTTGAGTTTCTTTCATTTTCCACTAAATAATATTATGATTTATTTAGTTATAAGTTCTTCGCTTTAGAGAATAATTATTGAAATAATTAAATCCAAATTTTGTTATTAAGTTTTTCGTTATGTTGCGGGAGCGAATTCAAATGGTAACGCTTATTAATGCTATACATACATACATATATGTTTATATATATATATGTATATGTTATATATCACTGAGGAAATCTGATAATGTGGCAATTTAGTTTTTCTTCCCCCAAACCTTAAACGTACATACATATATAAATAGATATACATATATATATATATATATATATATATATATATATATATATATATATA